AGTTCATCTCAGTCATGTCAGATGGATCCCTGGACAGTGCAGTGATGGAAGAAGAAATGGTTTATGTCAGGAGTGCTAGTGAGGGAAAAGTCAAAGTTGATTTTGTTGGGGTTAAAGCTGTCTCAAAGCCAGATGCTGCAAATATAGCGAAGCTGTGTGCAGTATAATGGACAGTGATGTCAGCACTGATTGGAAGAACAAGCTGGTTGCCATCACCACAGATGGAGCATCTGTAATGACAGGAGTAAACAATGGTGTAGTTACAAAACTGCGTGGAGACAGATCAAATGTGCTTGGGATCCACTGCATGGCCCATAAGCATGAACTCGCTTTTTCAGACGGAATAAGGAAGAATGTGATGGTCAGGAAAGTTGAGGACCTGTTGAGTGGACTCTACACCTTATATCATAATTCATGATTTAGAGGCCTTAATTTCATCAGACACTTATGACATTATAGGAATAACAGAAACATGGATGAGTGACGATGATGGAGAAGAATATAATATGGATGGTTACACGTTGTTCCATAGAGAGCAAATAGGCAAGAAGGGAGGTGGTGTTGCAGTATATGTAAAAGAAAGCTTGCAGGCAAGGGAGCTCACTGATAAAAATAAAGGTACAGATGCTGTATGGGTAAAACTAGATGCTAAAAACTCAAATGGCCTAATTGTCGGGGTTTGTTATAGAGCACCTAATGTAGCTGCAGAGGAAAGCAGAATGATATCAGGATTATGAGTAATAAAAATGATCTGGTTATGGGTGATTTTCATTTACCTGGGATACAGTGGGACACAGTCTCTGGCTCTTCTGTAAATGAACTTGAGATGGTGGAATTAGGACAGGATTGGTTTTTTTACTCGATTTAATGGCCCTACCAGGGGAGAAGCCCTTCTTGATCTTGTTTTCTCTATCAACCAGGATAGGATTGGAAAATTAGAGGTTTTAGATCCACTGGACGGTAGTGATCACAACATGATTAAATTTGAGGTTAATTTGAGTGTCCGAACAGCAAAGTTTAAAACAAAAATATACAATATTATGAAGGCTAACTTTAATGGAATGAGACTGAAACCAGAAACTGTAAACTGGAACAAAACTGTGAAGAGGCATGGGAATTTTTTAAAAGTGCAAAAGGACTTCATACCTGTTTCCAGCAAAACTAAATCTAGGAAACTGCAGCCAAGGTGACTTACTATGGAAATTAAGAATAAAGTCAGGAGGGAAAGGGCTCTGTTCCACAAATGGACATTAACTAACAATTTCAAAATAAAGCAGGAGTATCTAAGTCTACAGGTTGAGTTAAAAAATAACATTAGACTCGCTAAGAGGAATGTAGAAAGGAAGATTTCATTGGAGGCTATTGATGACATTGAAAGTTTCTTCCCATATTTTAACTCCAAAAGAGCCCTAAAAGCTGAAATCACTAATCTGCAGGATAGTAGGGGTCTTATAATTGAAAATTAAATTGATATAGTAAAAGAGTTTAATGATTCTTACATGGGTGTTCACAGTAGAGGACACAAGTAACTTGCCACCATTTAGTGCAAATACAGTGTCGTCTATGACCAATATATGTATAACTGAGGCTGATGTGGTACTAAGCCTAGCTAAACTCAAAATAAATAAATCGCAGGGCCCTGATGGCATCTTACCTATAGTTTTAAAAAGTATGAGGGATATTATTAGCTAACCTTTAACTTCACTATTTCAGAAATCCTTATCTACTGGTGTGGTACCTTCTGATTGGAAGCATGCTAATATAACACCCCCATATTCAAAAAAGGGGATAGAAGTAATCTAGCAAACTATAGGCCAATCAGTTTAAATGACATAACTGGAAAAGTAATGGAAGCTACAATCCAAGGGAAAATGTTAGATTACCTGATTTCAAATAACATTCTGAGGGATAGCCAACATGTATTTAGGAGAGGTAGATCCTGTTTAACTAATTTACTTGAGTTCATTGAGGAAGCTACAAGAGAAATTGATCACACAAAGGCCTACAACATGATCTACTTAGATTTCCAGAAGGCCTTTAATGTTGTCCCCTACAAACGGCTCTTGCTTAAGCTCAAAGCTACAGGAGTTTTAGGAACTGTGGCAGCTTGGATCGAAAACTGGTTAACAAACAGGAAGCAACGGGTAGTTATTAGAGGCAGAATGTTGGGCCTACGTTCATAGTGGGGTACTGCAGGGTTCAATTTTTGGACCACTACTGTTCCTAATTTACATTAATGATATTGACACCAATACATACAGTAAACTGGTTAAATTTGCAGATGACACCAAAGGTGGGTGGTGTAGCAGATACTAAACTAGCAGCATAGAGGCTACAATGAGATCTTGATTTAATTAGTGACTGGGCTGATACCTGGCAGATGAAATTTAACATAGATAAATATAAGGTAATCCATGCAGGGAGCAGAAATATATAGTACAGCTATTTTATGGGTTCCACTGAAATAAAGGTAGCTGATTAGGAGAAAGATCTCAGTGTGTATGTTGATGCTTCCATGTCTCACTCTCGCCAGTGTCGGGAAGCAATTAAAAAGGCCAATAGGATGTTGGGTTATATCTCTAGGTGTGTGGAGTTTAAGTCAATGGAGGTGATGCTACAATTATACAATTCCTTGGTAAGACCCCACCTAGAATATTGTGTCCAAGTTTGATCACCATACCTTAAAAAGGACATTGCTGCTTTGGAAAGGGTGCAACGCAGAGCTACAAGAATGACTTCTGGTCTTAGAGGAATGTCTTATGAGGAGAGGTTAGCTGAGCTGAATCTGTTCAGTCTCGCGCAAAGGAGATTAAGGGGGGACATGATCCAGGTATATAAGATTCTAACAGATCTGGATGCCGTTCAGCCAAATGGCTACTTCAATATTAGTTTAAATTAGGGCTGTCAAAATTAACGGGTTAACACAGATTAATCCATCATCATGATTAATCTGATTAAAATTTTTAACGCAATTAACCCATCTGCAGTGCAGAATGACTCAAAATCCCTGAAATGTCTTTAACCCATTTCGGGCAGTTTTGGTGCGTTCCATTTGCCCTCGGAACTTGTATTCCAAGTCGGATTCCGAGTTTTTGAAGCCGGAAGTAACGACATGCGTGCTCCCGTTTCTCAGAGATCCGAGAATTCTCGGAGCAGCACAGAGGATCCCGAGTTCAGAATCCAAGATGGCTGCACCCTTTTTTATCAACAGAAGGGAAAGTTGTAGTTTTATACCGTTTAAGCACTACTTCTCATTTGTGGCTTATTAAATCGGTCGCACACACTATACCGTTCATCTTATCTGTGAACGTGTTGCTATGGAGTTTTATACGTAATGTGTTATCAAGTGATATTGCTAACAATGGCTACCAATTAACCGGGCTAGAATTGGATTTCATGATTAGTCTGATTATTTGTCGGATTTACGGTAGTTCGGGCTAATTGTAAGTGAACAAAGATAAAGGCCATTTAAACTGAGGTATGTTAAATCCGACAAGTTGTCCGGCTAAGCAAAAAATCTTGATTTTTCATATGGGTCCATGGTATTGCTACTTCTGTGGCAAATGGAACGCATCCGACTCGGGTTTTCCCGAGTTTTTAGCAGATGTGACGTAATATCGGAATCCGAAAATCGGATCCCGAGGCAAATGGAATGTGTGAATATTCCCTTTTTTCTTGAGTCTGTTTGCTCATGCAGAATGAATTGTAATTAATATAGATTAAAAATGAATGATATTTTTTTTAGCAACCCTGTGATTAATCTGATTAAAAATTTAAATCATTTGACAGCACTAGTTTAAATACTAGAACTCGTGGCCATAGGTGGAAATTAGCGGGAGAACATGTTAAACTGAATTTAAGAAAACACTTCTTTATATAGCGTGTAGTTAGAGTATGGAATAGTCTTCCTGCTAGTGTAGTGCAGGCTAAAACCCTGGGTCCCGATAAATCAGAGCTAGATAAGATTTTAACAACTCTGAGCTATTAGTTAAATTTTCCCCAAATGAGCTTGATGGGCCGAATGGCCTCCTCTCGTTTGTAAATTTCTTATGTTCTTATGTAGTTCAAATTATCTCAAAACAAAAAGGTGGTTTTGCACTGTGCAAAGTTTCGATGGCATACCACACAGCACTAGTGCTATACAAGAGCACCTGAAGGGAAAACACACAGGCACTATTTTGAATGATGGACCGCCAGAATAGGCAAAACTCTACCATATGCATTGTCCATTTATGTTTATTAAATTACCATTAATACGGAGAGGTTTGTAATATCTTTTTTCATTGTAGTTGCTAAATACACTCATTAAAGCCATGAAGTTGTCTGCTTGCTACATTACAATCTCCATTGAATAAGCTTTTGAAAAAACGTTTAGGTTAAAATCTGGGCTTATTCTACATTAATTGACAGTACCAGTGTGTGTGTGTGTGTCTGTGAGTTTGTGCGCATTGGGCTTGTTTGGGACCAGTGTTATTACCATAAAATAAAACTGAAAGGATGATGGAAACTAACAAAAAAATTAACTGAACTAAAAGTGAAAACTATATTTACCAAATAAATGTGTCAGACTTTAATCAATAAAATGTACCATCACTCCACCGTCTTTTTACCTAAAGCCTTGCAATTACACATAGTTTGTTGTTGTCAAAATAATATAAAAAAGTCAATTTGATTTTCTGGAGGAAATTTAATGATTTAAATGAATCAACCAATGGGTAAAAGAGTCAATAGATTAATTCATAGAAAAATAGTCAGTAGTGGCAGCCCTAATGTCAAAAGTATAAACAGAGAGCACCAGTGATAAAATATAAATAAAATTAAAGTAATGGCAACAGCATAGACAGACACAGCAATGGTACAGCATGAGGTAATAGTGGCAGTATGAGGAAATTTTAGTGTCACTGGCTGGTTAACAGCAATGGGGAGGAATCTTGTCTCTAAATCTGGAAATGCTTGTGCAGATGGATGGGTGGAAGGTAAAAAGTGACAGTGCTGGGTGGCTAGTCTCTCTCAAAATGCTGCTGGCTTTTCTGAGACAGTGCCTGAAGACGATGTCTTGGACCGCCGGAAGCTGTGTGCCCGAGGAACTTGACCCTGCTGATCTGCTCCACAGCATCCTCTGCGATGTAGCTAGGACTTTGGAGAGTCATCTGCTTGTGAAAGTCCAGGATCAGCACCTTGCTTTTGCTAACGTTGAGGGTGAAGTTGTTATCCCGACAGCATCCTTCAAGGTGCCTTACCTCCTCCCCATAGGCCTTCTCATCATCATTGCAGATCAGACCGATGACAGTAGTGTTGTCAGCAACTTCAAGATGGAGTTGGAGCAGTACTTGGTTACGCAGTCGTGGGTGAAGATGGAGTAGAGCAGGGGGCTCAGCACACTGCCCTGTGGGGTTGCTTGTATTGGTGACGATGGAGGAAGAGGTCTTCCCACCAATGCACACTTGCTGGGAGTCTGCTGGTGACAACGTCCAGAATCCAGTTAAATGGTGATGAGCAGAGCCCCAAATTCATCAGTTTAGCGGTGAGTGAAAAAAATTCCTGAGCCTGACCTTTTTTCCATGCCCGGGACGTGAGCAAGGGTGGCGGTGCTATGTATGCAACACACTTTTAACACATAACTTGTTGGCCCCTGGGCCCAGATATATAAACAGCCTGTGTATAACCCTGATCATCATCATTGTCAAGCGGGGTCCAGGGGTATCCTCCCCTGTGAGAAACTTTTTAAAAATAGCCCCATAAATGATTCTGGTGAATTTTGTGGAAATAAATGGACAACATTCAGACGTGAGATGAACAAACCCAGTATAAGCCTATATTACGGTAGCATCTTTGTGCAGAGCACCAGAGCTCTTGAGACCCTGGACCTGGTAGGCCTGTTCAGTAATCCATCCCTTCTTTTAACTAGTCACTTACCTGCCCACCTATTGCCCGTATAGCATACTGAGACTAGAGATACTACAGCCATACCAAGAAAGGTAAGTAGGTGGAACTTATAGTACTCCAAAGTAAACTAGGAATTGATTAGTAGCCATTGACTAAAGGACATGAACAAGGACATAGATTAATTTTTCTTTAACAAATATAATTGCAAAATATGCACCATTTATTTGAAATAGTTACAGTGCAACAATATATATATATAATACCACAACACTAAAGTTTATTCAGAACAATTTGCTATTAAATGAATGTAAATACAAAATAGAAAACTAAAAAATATAACTTAATTCAGAAAAAGGCCATTCAGTTCCATTAAAAATGACAATCATTTAAAGTGCTTCAAGAACTGAAAAACAATGAGAAATAAATAAAAATAAGCAAATACAGTTTACTATAGGATTAACAAAACATTTTTCCTTCCCTTTATTTCTTCCTTTTTGAACAGGGTTTTGGGTTCTCAGAACCTTTCCTTTTTAACATGTTTGGTGACTGTAGATGATGCTTTGTATTGGCCAAAAAAAGAGTGGGAAAAAACGTGTTGGTGCAGAGGACGTGATAGCTGATGCTGAGGATGTGGTGGCTGGTTCAGATGAGGTTGTAGCTGGTGCCGAGGTTGGGGAAGCTGGTGCAAAAAGAAGATGTTGTCTGTCTGGTGAAAAGGAGGTTGTGGCAAACGCATCTCCAGGTTGTAGCTTGTCCAGAGGTGGTGGTGGAGGTGGCGGCTGGAGAAGATGAGGGTTTGGCTGGTGTTCTGACTTGTTGACCAGAGGAGGTGGTGGCTTGTGCAGATGAGGTGGAGACTGGCACAGAGGAGGATTTTGCTGGCCTTTTGATTTTTTGAGCCTGTTGAACCAGTTTGTTTGCCTCCTTTGAGGACTGCATCCTTGCTCCCTCACTCAGCCTTTTCTGCCTTAGTGCCTGTTCAGTCTCTTTCTTTTTCTGTAAATGTAATTGGTAGTTCTGGAATGACGGAAGGCAGGATCGCCTCAAAGACAATGGTCAATGGTCATAGTTGAGGCTGTTCAGTCCCTGGCTTTAAGTGTGGACTTGATCATTGCGAGGCTCTCATACGTTTTCACATTCATGGAGCAACTGTCAGCTTCGAGGATATCATCCATTAAATTGAATGATTCTTCCACCAGGGGGCCTGTAAAAATGGACTGAAGAGCTTTCACTAGCTTGCATAGGATGGGATACCTCACACCTCCCTCTGCATTTTTCAAGGAAGCAACATGGCTCCACCAGTCTACATCAACTCGACAGTCCCCTTCGATGTAGCTCTGTACACAAAGAAGCATGTGCACATCCATCTGATAGGCCCGGCATCCCTCTACCAATTGACCAATCTCTTCTGGAGGGACAACATTTGGCAAGGCCTCTCCTAAAAGCTTCAATGACAGCATCAGATTGAATTAGAGATGGAGTTAGACCAGAGAGTGATGTTAATATGATGTTAACCAGGGGAAGGTTTTTTAGCAGAAACTCCACTGACCTCATATACCCTTCTCTGAGAGAGTCATATATATTTCCAACCCATACCTTCCTCTCCACACGGGCTTTGTTCATTGCAATGTAACAAAACTGTCCAACAGAGAGCCTCTTGTTTGACAGCTGCAAATCCCTGCTCCATACATCAACCTTGGAGAATTTCCTTAGGACTCAGTGGGATAGCCTTTGGTCTCATAAATTTGTTCAAGAGCTCCCTTTCAAGGGCCACCATGTTGAAGCTTTTTGACAAATCTCTGAAATGTCAGAAGGATCCCTGCAAATGTAAAAGACAATATAATTTA